AGACTCCAGCAGTTATTAATGTTTTTAACATGTGTTGAAGAACAGTGTATAATTTGATATTAATGTGTTGAACATGTGTTGAAGACATTGAGTAAAGTCACTTATCCTCTAAATAAAACACAAACGAGACTCCAGCAGTTATTAATGTTTTTAACATGTGTTGAAGAACAGTGCATTATTTGATATTAATGTGTTGAACATGTGTTGAAGACATTGAGTAAAGTCACTTATCCTCTAAATAAAACACAAACGAGACTCCAGCAGTTATTAATGTGTTGAACATGTGTTGAAGAACAGTGCATTATTTGATATTAATGTGTTGAACATGTGTTGAAGACATTGAGTAAAGTCACTTATCCTCTAAATAAAACACAAACGAGACTCCAGCAGTTATTAATGTTTATAACATGTGTTGAAGAACAATGTATAATTTGATATTAATGTTTATAACATGTGTTGAAGACATTGAGTAAAGTCACTTATCCTCTAAATAAAACACAAACGAGACTCCAGCAGTTATTAATGGAATTAACTGCACTACCAATCATATTTCCAGTTGTGTGTTTCGTGTGTTATTTGAGATCCTGTAATCGACAAAATTGTGCACTCGTACACAAGTTGGTCCTTAGTTAGCTCAGAAAAACGTGTTTAAAAAGCTGATATTTTTAAGAACCTCCTTAGCAGTTCTTGAGATAATTAACAGAATGATTAAAATCCCAACGATTGCTTCAGAAGCTTTGTTAATTACTCAACAACATCACCAACAATATCAATAAAGTATTTACAAATTTTATAAAAATAGAGAAAACAAAAACAATACTAATATATGAATTTTAATCTTACCATAATGATGGCATCACCTACAAACAACTGGCGAGTCTGGTCGGCTGTAAAAACAGAAATAACACAATAGCCTGTGATAGAGCAGTATTCCTGATTCTATTAAAATACAGAGTTTCTGAAATTATAGCAGTCATCCCTCTGAGAATCTACAAACGTACTATGTAGCCAATAGATATTTTGTTTTTGGTCACCGACAAATATGTTGTTTATATTTGTCTTCCTAACTACATATATTAAGAAATAAATACAATGTCTTGATTTTAATATGTGTTAATAATTTTAAATTAAATGATAAATATAAACAACCTGAATGTGAATTACCAGTTTCTTTTCAAATTCTGTTCCTAAACACTAAAAATTCTTTTACACCTTTTCGGAAACCACCAGCCGACAACTTGACAGTGCCATTTTGAAAAGCAGCCTTCAAACACAAATGTTTACATGATCTATCTTACTGCTATTCCCACATCAGCAGTTAGTTATCTAAGTAACACAAATACCAATAAAGAAGTTACTCCCATGATATTCACACTTATAAAAATAACTTGTTTTGCTTCAGAATTAGGTATCTCTTTGGAGGAAATTACAAAACAGATAAATGTCACATGACAACCGTACCTGCTTGATCTTTGAAAATACGAGAAATGAGAATTGGGAGCTTGTGTTCGGCACCACCCTGAGCAAACAGATATTACATTAGATTAATCAAGACTGGTCGACTTTTAGATATAATTACTAAATACAGTATGAATAAACAATAAAATGAATAATAAAAACACTACCTCAATGTTGATGTGAATTTAAAACTGTTTTAGTCCCAAGTCAAATAATACCTACAGCTACAACAGATGTAGTATTTTAAATCAAACAATACATACAGCTACAACAGATGTAGTATTTTAAATCAAACAACACCTACAGCTACAACAGATGTAGTATTTTAAATCAAACAATACCTACA